GTTTAGTCATGCCGGCCACATGACCACGGAAACGTCTTCGGACAGCGCTGGCTCTTCGGCTTTGAAACGGAGATGAGCACCGCAACCCTAGAGTCGGATTCGACTGGCTTTCAAGCAAGGGAACCTTTACCTTTACTATACATAGGAAGGTATAGATAGGAAGCCACAAGGTATAGATAGGAAGTCTCTTGGGCAAGTGATGCTCTGTATACTTGGTGCTTGGGGGGGGCAACAGTGGGAGGGCTTCTAGTGTCCTGGCCCCACTGCTGGACCTCCAGATGGCCCCTGGTATTTTTGGCCTCTGTGTGACACAGAGTGTTGGACTGGATGGGCCGTTGGCCTGATCCAACATTGGCGTCTCTTATGTTCTTATTCTCCACAGCCCCCCTTTGGGAGGCCTGTGAAATTTGGAATTTTTTCCTCCACCCTCTTGGATCAACCAAATTATGCTGAGGTGTTATCGGAGTTGTATTTTTATTCTTGGTTTTAACTTTTAATTATCGATTGTACGTTCCCTCTTGATGTAAGCCGCCCTAAGCCTTACTTGCCAGAAAGGGTGGCCTAAAAACGTAATAAAATACATAAATCCTAAACTCCGCACCCTCTGTTATTTCAGTTTCAGTTTGGTTTATTGTAATTAGCCATTGGCCGTTACAAAATTGCAAAATACAAATTGTGAACAAACTATAGGTTAATATCAGAATATACAAAAGTACCAGAAATCAATGACAAAATATGACTAGTTTAATACAGTGGCCTGGATTATGCCCCCTTCCCAATACCACCTTGGAACGTCTGTTCTTTGCAGCAAGAGCAAATAATGAAACTTTATAAGAGACATAGACATCAGTGTCAGATTTTATTCTCAACTGGGTAAGCACTAAGACCACTTATCCTCAACTGGGTAAGCACTAAGACCACACAAAATACCTGCTAAAAATTTAGCCCTCGGACTAGAATACAGTGTGCAAAAGAGGATATAGTGAGGTGGATCCTCAAGTTCGTGGGTGCCACAAATACATAGATGATGGACCAATGGAGTTTGATTGAATCGGCCCTCCAAATTGCCGTTGGCATTGATTGAAACTGTAGAGAGGTAACTTGGTGACCTGATCTTCAATTTTCCTTGCATTAGATCCTTGTGACGGCGAGCCGGGCCCTGCTGCTGAAGCAGTGGGAATGGCGAGATGAGAAGTGCAGCCGCACATGGAAGGCGGTCCACACGGCTCCTGTGGCCAGCATGGCCTTCGACCCAACGTCCACATTGTTAGCCACAGGTGCAGTCCGGTTCCTTCTTCCTGGGCCTTTGGAGGGAATCCCTGAAGCGGCTTAGATCTGAGCACGCTCCTGTCATGGGCAATGCTCCCTCTAAGCTGTGGAGTTTCCTTTGGAGCCCTCCTTCCTGAGCGAAGACCGAAATGTGTGAGCCGGAGGCTAAAAAGCTGTGAGCTGGCTCACACTAACTCACCTTAGAGGAAACACTGGTCGTGGGCAATGTTCCCTCTAAGCTGTGGAGCCTTGTGAGCAAAAGTTCTATTTTGTGAGCTACTGGCATTGACGTTGTGAGTGAGCCATTTGGCTGCTGCATAAATTAGTTTGCTCTGGGGCTGTCCTTCCTGAGCTAAGAGAAAAATGTGTGAGCCGGAGGCTAAAAAGCTGTGAGCTGGCTCACACGAACTCAGCTTAGAGGGAACACTGGTCATGGGTATCGTCCCTGTAGCGGGAATAAGAAGTCTCAGGTGGTCTGGCACTCTGGAAAGGCACAAGCTTCTTTAAACACGCTCCTGAACACTTTAAAGGAGCCCGTGGGCTTGGGATTCTCAGAGTTCGGGTAGTATTGCAAACCTCCTTTTTGTGACGTTGGTTGTTTCCTTCCTCTCCTCCTTTCCCTGTCCAGGTGGCTGCGATAGTACCATTAAGGTCTGGGACGTGATCAAGCAGTATTGTACCCACAACCTGAAAGGCTCGTCGGGGGTTGTCCAGTAAGGAAAACATTCCTTTAAATTTGCTGTTTTAGAAGAAACTGAGTCTGGAGGGTTCATCACAGAATGACCTTTTGCAGCGCTCGTTGATTTCAGAGCTCTGATGCAGAAGAGGTTGTGGGGTGATTTGGGGCATAGCCGTCTCTCTGCGGTGGCTCAGTGGTTAGGACGCTGAACTGCAGACCGGAAGGTCAGTAGTTCGGCATTTCGAGACCCGAGTGCCGCGTGACGGAGTGAGCTCCCATCTCTGGTCTCAGCTCCTGCCAAGCGAGCAGTTTGAAAGCAAGAAATTGCAAGTAGATAAATAGGTACCACTTCAGTGGGAAGGTACAGCGTTCCGTGCGCCTCGGCATCTAGTCATGCCAGCCACATGACCACGGAAACGTCTTTGGACAGTGCTGGCTCTTCGGCTTGGAAACAGAGATGAGCACCGCCTCCTAGAGTCGGATTCGACTGGCTTTTTGTCCGATCCGCCACGCATTCAGATGAAGACACGTGTATGTAGAACAGTAGTGTTTATTAAAGCAATGAAGAAGGTGGAACACAAGGAGTGTTTAGAATGACCAGATAGTGCTTGGTACAGGATAATAAACAGATTCATACAAAGGGATAACCAATAGATATGGTTCCCGCTTTTACGGGCTGTTAAAATGCGCGCCAAAAGCCTGAGAACCCAACGGCTTGTAACAGATAAACAATTAAGCGCTTCTCGTGCCCTAGCTAATTATAGATAAAAGCGAAAGACACAACGACCGATTCTCCACACCTGTTGACCTTGGGAAAGAGCTACGTGTGCGCCTCGGCATCTAGTCATGCCGGCCACATGACCACGGAAACGTCTTTGGACAGTGCTGGCTCTTCGGCTTGGAAACAGAGATGAGCACCGCCTCCTAGAGTCGGATTTGACTGGCTTTTGAGCAAGGGAAACCTTTACCTCTCTCCTTGTGCTTTTCAAAGAAACTGAGTGGTCTGGCGTTCCCCCTGTGGGATTGCTTCAAATAGACCTCTGCTTCGTCGTGCAGTTACCGGCAGAAGGCCGGAAAAGACAGCTTCAGGGCCACATCCCCAGTATTTAGATCCATACTTGAGAAAAGAGTCCGTCTGTCTGTTTCTGTTTGCGCTCAGCCCTGGAGGCAGAACTTTGCAGAACTGCGTGGTCAAAGATCAAGATGAGAGGTCGTGTTAGTCTGTCTGTAGCAGCAAAAAAGAGTGAGAACCTAGGAGCACCTTCAAGACTCACAAAATCTGTGGCAGGGGAGGAGCTTTCAGGAGTCACTGCTCACTGCTTCAGATAGATCAAGATGGGCAGCCCTTTTAGTCTGTCTGTAATGGGCTGCTGGGAGATCCGTGGCACCCTCTAAGACTCTCACGTGCCTCCGTTACGTTCCTTTTTCCTCAGCCTTGTCAAGTTCCATCCCGACATCTCCCAGCTGCAACTCTTCTCCTCCTCCATGGACTACAAAATCCGCCTTTGGGACCTGAAGTCTAGCAAATGCATCGCCCTGCTGGAGAGCCATTACAGCGCCGTCACCTGCCTGGCCTTCTCCGCGGACAGAGAGACGCTCGTCAGGTAAGATCCTGCCAGAGATTCCCCCACACGTCCTCTTTCCTCCCTGCAGATAACGGCAAGCCCCGCGGTTATCTTTTTACGTCTGTCTAAATGTGATGATGTTCGTATTGGCAGGGCCGGCTCGCCCACTAGGCGAACTAGGTGCTTGCCTAGGGCGCGCCGGCCCTCAGGGGCGCCAAACTGCACCCCACCACCACCCTAACCGGTGAGAGAGAAAAGGCAGCAGGGATCAAGGGTCTCTGCCCGCCCGCCCTCTCTCTGCGCCCGGCCGGGGTGGAGGAGGCGGCGCCACAGCTTGCCCGCCCTCCCCCCTCAGGGGGGAGGAGACAGAGGCGGCATGGTGGTGTGGCCAGCGGGTGATTGCTGCCGCCATGGGAAGGGGCCGGGGAGGGGAGCAGGGCCCCGTGGCAGCTGAGCCCTCCCCCTCCCGGCAAGAGAGAAAAGGCGGCGGGGATCGAGGGTCTCTGCCCCCGCCCCCCCTCTCTGTGCCCAGCTGGGGTGGAGGAGGTGGCACCACAGCTTGCCTGCCCTCCCCCCTCCGGGGGG